AGGAGAGGACATTAAATTTAATCATCAACGTAAAATAGTCAAAATAGACAAAAGTTGTATTAGAGTGAGGACAAACCATTCTTATGACTTGATTGACAGTGATCACACATCTCCTGACAATGTTCTGGATCCCAAGTTTCTCCGAAATACTGTCCAATCAATGCGCGTCGGCACAATCTTCCATCTTGACAATACCTCAAAATATTGTAGAGGTTTTGGATGCCTTGAAAATATTGACAGAAGTATGATTGACTGATTGATTGTAATCGAATGGTTGATTGGGGAGTTGATTGACTGATTGAATAATTGACTGTATGGTTGATTGGTGAACTGATTTGTTACATGAATAAATGATTGGTTGATTTACTGATTGGTTGGTTGATTGATTGATTGTATGATTGGTTAATTGGGGAATTGATACCCTGCGAGCAGAGGAATTTTCCACCCCCTTCTACAAAGAAAAGGAAAAATTCCTCTGCTCGCAGGGTAGGGAATTGAGTGATTGATTGATTGATTGATTGATTGATTGATTGATTGATAGCTAGTTGTTCACCTGTTTGTTCTGTAAATACCATAGTTAGCTGTCTAAAAGCATCAAAAGGTCTATAATAGAGAATACACGAAGACTTCTTATCATCACGGCCAGCTCGACCGCTCTCTTGGTAATAATTCTCCATAGATTTACTGAGACTGTGATGGATAACAAACCGCACATCAGCCTTGTCAATACCCATGCCGAAAGCAACAGTAGCTACAACAACCTATGAAGATGAGATTCAAATCCAGGTCRTTTTCAGTATTATTTTCAGAGTAGAATGTATTACTGCAAACAAATGAATATATTTGCAGCTCAAGATTGCTCTGACTCGTGACTGGGTGAGTGATTGAGAGGACACCCTTTGTTTCAATCCTGAGTAAGGAAGGTACATGAAATTCATTGACAATAATTCAAACCTGAATTCTATCCTGTGTCCAGTTATGGTGCACTTGACTYCGAGCTTCAGCAGGCATATCACCATGGTAGCAACCAGCYTTGATTCCTCTTGTCATAAGTTCTTGTGCAACGTCTTCAGAGTCTTGTCTTGAGAAGCAATAAACAATGCCTGGATAGAAAGATAACAAGACTAATGTGTGTGGTTTGAGTGAGGTGTGTTCATTGATCCTGATATGAATGGCTTCTTCTCAGGCCTCTTTCAAACCAGATTGATTTGATATCTTGAATTTCTAGGACCTTGTGCCATCTGTAGTCTGCATGGATGCTTAATATACATGTACATGCGTAATGATTTATATGATCRGCGCAGTGTGGATACTGTAATAATCTAAGCGATTATTAATATATTATGGATCGCCCCCAAAGATTTTGGGCTTCAACTGGAATTGATCCCGTCACTTTTGCGATGCCGGTACAGTGCTCTACCAACTGAACTATGAAGCATGTAGGTCCTAAATGTTGTTTTTAGAGATTATAGTGATGAACATCATAACAATGGGGATGATTATATTACCTGATTGAGAGGCAAATCTAGATTTAATTAACTGACACATGTCATTCATGCAGTCTTTGCTGGATGGTGCTTTGTATCTTATCTAAAACAAAAAATATGGAAATRAAAAGTGTMCATGAGAAAGAAGGAATTTCTAATTACCTCATAGTATAGGTTTGGTCGATTGAATGAAGCCTTCAACAGCAAACAGTCTGACTGAAGAACCAGAATCTTCTTGAYGTCTTCAATGACCTTGGTKGTTGCCGTAGCTGTCAGTCCCAGTATGGGTACRCCTGGGTATTGTCTCTTTAAGATTCCAAGAATTTTGTAATCAGGTCTAAAGTCATGACCCCATTGGCTGGCACAATGGACTTCATCAATGACTATTCTAGATAAAAGACCAGCTGGATAAAAGAAGATGAGTAAATGGATTAATGGGAATTGAAATAAATGAGAAWGAAATCAACAGAGAGAGGAATTATGAATTAACTATGAGAAACAAACAAATATTATAAATAAATGGATCAATGCTGAATGAATAGATGAATGAATAAATGGATGGATGAAAGAACAAATGGATGGATGAAAGCATGAATGGATGGTTGAATAAATGGGATTGATAATGAATGCATGAATGGGATGAGTGAAAGGATAAGGGAATATTATATGGATAAAAATTACCATCATAACTTTTCTCCAGTTTTGCCATAAATCTCTTGCTTTTTGCTATTTTCTCTGGCGTCACATACAACAACTTGAGACCAGATTTCTGATCCAACATGGCGGCATGAACAGAGTTAACCTTCTCTCTTGGGCAGCTTGCATTYAACATTTCACTTTTAATATTTAACCTGTGTAAGGCCATCAATTGGTCTTCCATTAGAGAAACCAGGGGGGACACCACTAGAGTAAAACCCTTAGAAACCATTGCAGGTAATTGAAAACACAATGATTTGCCCCCTCCTGTTGGCATAATAAGTATACAGTCACAACCAGACAATGTGGCGTTCATACATTCAAGCTGCAAAGGTCTAAACGTGTCCATCTTAAACACATTTTCGCGTATATTTTCAAGTTCTTTTGACCATTCRAAWCTGGAGCCTTTGAAGTCTTGTTTTTGCGTCTGATTTGATTTTGAAGTTTTCTTTTCTTCTGAGTTCAAGCGGCTCTGTATTTCATTTTTCCTGTCAATAAGATATTGCTGTCTTTCTAAAAGTGAGGCTATCTGTATTTCTATTTCGTTCAGTTCTTCTGTGATTTCAACCAACTCTTTGTCGTCCGTCATTTTTTCTGAATTGAAAGACGTTTTCTTCAAGGCGTTCCTAGATGTAAGACAGGGAACCCAAACAACTTGATTGAAAAATCCCTTTACGAGCCTTTACAAGGAAAGATACGCTATCAAAGATTCTGAACAGTGTTACTAGTATTGTTCATGGAAAAAAATTGAAATTTAGATGTTCAAAAAGTTGATTTTGTGTCAAACACCCTAAAAAAACATTTTATATTTAGAGATCTAACCAGCGGATTCCCCCTTTTATCTATGCACATGACAAATTGCGTACAACGGGTCATTTTTAAGCGTCCCTGCACATGGAAGAAGGAGGGCAGACGATATGATTATTTCAAGAAATTGCACTGATTTCTGACAGGGAATTTGCTAATAATTGGTTTGATGGGGGAGATTGGAGCTATGATGGCCAGGCTTGAACAAGAAGGGCTTAATATTGAGGAGCTCATCAACTATGAACTTGAAGCCGCCGGKTTTTTGTCGCTTGCAGCAAGGTTAGGTTCYCTACTAWCAATGATACACGTATTCGTCTTACAATTCTTCTTTTGTTTGCTTAAAATTCTTCATTTTAATGCTTAGCAGTTTTAGTAATTTATTATTTTTCCAACTCTATTCAGTTTTATGTGGGATAGTATCTAAAAATCTCGCTTTTGAGCTTATACAACTGACTTAAATTAAGTCTCTTTGTTGTTGTTGTTGTTTTCATTGTGTTGAATTGAAACTAACAAAAGTTTAAACAAGTGTCATTTAATAGAAAAGTGACTAAACTATTTTGTAACTAAGTTAGCTTTTACATGTAATTCAATGGCAATAAAAGCAGAAACCCATGTAAACTTATAAAATTGTTTGCTCAGTCGAGACTACATTTAGCTGGTCTTTATAAACTTTGACAAAAGTTCGTAAATTTGTTTGTTTTCTAATCCTGTGGATAAAATTAATTTCATACAAATTTTCACTTGCTATTTCTTTATCTTGATGCATCCATTTTTGTGTTTAATGCGTATTTTGATTCGATTAACATAAATAATATTGTCCTTTACAATATTTCCATTGTCATGGACTGTTACTCCATAAGCTGTAATTAATTGTTATAATATTATTTTATCAAGAATATTTATTCAGGATATAATATCAGAAGTAATGTACAAAAGAGGTCTTAAATACATTTAAATGAAAAAAAAAAAAAATTAAATATGCTGTAAAAATATACTTATTCCTTGCAGATCCACTGATTCGCTTTCAGATAGGATTGATGCCATCTCTGGTAAGCTCAATAATTCTACCATGTAGCTCAAYAACATTGTATTTATCAGAATAGTTCAGACAATACATTGTTTCATAACTTATTTCCACAATGGTTGCCTGGAAACTTTCAGATGTTGTATTTTTCTTATCATATAAATTATATGGATCCCGTCTGGAACTTTAAAGTATGTTTTATTGAATATTTATTTATACCTTTATCAGGAAATCAAAGTGAGCTAAAATGCTTGTTCAAGTCTATTGAAGATCAATTACGCGTGGTGCAAGAAGAGGAAAACATCCCTGAAAGGTCAGTGACGTASTATTGGTACAGTGAAATATCTCTCTTAGAGACATTAGTCAGCCATGGGAATGTATATCCATAAATATGGCTCACTTTTATCACAATGATAATTACTCTGTCTGTGACATTAATGTATGTCCAGGGTTTTCAGTAGAAATAAAAGTAGACATCAAAATAGGAAAAGTACCTGTCAAAATAGGAAATGYAAARCCAAATAATTCAAAATAMATTTGTAMAWAGYCGCRGATKAACTAAGCTATAACTAGCGATTTTCATTGKCTGCYAGCTTCTGCTGAGAAMCCTGTGTATTTATCATATAATTATCCATTAAATAACGCATCCATGGTACCGTTATACTTGTATACCTGTTACCTGTCCTCCTTGTGCCCTGTGGCACTTAGGGCCTTACTTGTATAATGGAGGTGAATATAAGTTATTTTAATTTTAATTTAATTTTTTAATTTTCTTGTGTTTATAATACACCTTTTCAGTTGCTCTTAGGCCTCGACAGCGTGTTAAATATTCTTTTGAATTTGTAGGAATGTGAGMAATGCAAACATTGATATGAATAGTCTCATTTGTCAAATTCAAAAGAATAATTAACTTGCTATCGAGGCCTAAGTGCAACTGAAAACGTGTATTAAATGATAAACAGAATATTATATGKTTTTTTGGAGATACAGACTTTATCTAGTTGTGTAAATCAAAGTACCATTTTTTCWCCCAGTCTCTTAGATGATAAGATGTTTGTAGACAATGACGCAGGAGTGAAGCATGTAATCGTAATWGACGATGATGATGATATACCCAAGAGTGACTTTAATGGRCAAGTTGACCTAGAGCCTAGTCCTTCTCATGTTAAAACACAAAGCCARCCATTGTCTAAACCAACTGAAACTAYAAATAGTAGCCAGCCAACTAAACCAGCAGATMAAATAGTTACTTCAGTACAGAGCTCAAAAACATTGACTACRACARCTAAGACTACCACTCCAGCAATAAGCAGCCCAGCACCTTTGAGGAATAGCGAAGCAACTCAGTTGTCTTCAAAACCAGAAGATATCCCACAATATAAAAGACCAGATACATTGAAGACCACGCCCGTTAKYACTGCTCAAGATACACCKCATAACACGCCTTTAAACACACCTATAGATACACCCGAGAGTGTTATAGCATACAGGACGTTAAGGTCTCCGTCAGAWGATGGACCTGAYAAAGCCATTGTTAGTATAACAGTGAAGTCATCTCAGCCWRTCATACCCCCTCAGMATCTAAGGGGTGCAGCTGTACCCACCACACCCTCYATAGATGYTGAGCCWGCARCACAGTAAGTGTACATRAAATCAGAGTTACACAATGATAATAGATGATTAGAATTGRCACTCTTTCCATCTCTACTTAACAATTCGCAGGCGGTTTTCCATTGTCTGCACTCTTATTGACAATGAAATTGATGTCAAAATGCTCAAAACTCAAGTGGAACCACAAGCGTAAGCGAGTGGTTTCACTGCAAAGTTTTGAGCATTTTTGACGTCAATTTCATTGTCAATAAGAGTACAGACAATGGAAAACCGCCTGCGAATTGTTTTTTACCATAAAAAAGCTGAAAACAAAGTAAAACTTTGTGCGTGAGCGATTCGTCATTTCATCCGTCTGTCCTAGGATTGACAACGGCTCTCGACCAATCAGCGCGCGAGAATTCTACAAGTTATGGTAAAAATGTATTTAGAAAGTCCATTGTTTTTTCCTTAGTTTTTACCTGAATTGTATGACAGGATCTTATCATATAACCAAAGTGTGTTGTTTCAAAATCATTGGCAGTGGTTTTCATAGACCTAATTGGCTAATGCGTTGCCATGTACGTTACCACCCAATTCAAATCCTGTGGGAAAAAAGCTTTTGTTTCTAAGAATTCAACTGTGAAATGAAAATACAACGAACAATGAAACTTACTCCCGGGTGATTTGAATTGGGTGGAAACATTTATAACAATGTTAACAGATTAGGCCTATAGACAATAGACTATGGCAGCTTATACATATGCATTCCTGTACCCAGAACGTTAGTTTCCCAACATAAAAGGAAAGATTTGAGATTCTGGATCTTGTGGTATTGTCTCCAACCAGAGCATTCGATTTCTTATTGGGAAACTGAGTAGGATCTGGGTATGAGGATGATCCATGTTGAGATGAAAGAAATTATCCACTCGATCAACAACTACTGTATTATATTTCATTGCCATGTCCCAATCTTGTCTAATAACAGGGCTAGCAATAATACTGCTCCAAAGTTTGATGAGGGAACTAGAATCATAGGGAAAAGAAGTGATGACCTTTGGTACCCTGGACAGATTATCAAAGTGATAACAGATCGTTACAATCAGGTAGTAATAATGATAAAAAATACTTTATTACATGTAGCTCCTCCTAAAAAGGTTAATTCTGGACTAATTTACATCAAGTTCAATAATGAGACTTTTACAATATAACAATATAAAATTCTAAATTACAATAGGTAACATAGATAAACACTAAAAGCCGCGTGCTATAATGTCAGTCATTCTTTTTCTCTTCTCTTGTTTTATCCTTTACTTACATGTACTTTGCTCCCTCTTCCGTCTTTCTTCTGTCTCTCCTTCCCACTTCCCATTTCTTCAATGAAATCATTTCYGTTATCTTCTTATCATGTCATCGAAACTTGAACTTTTTTCAGAACAAGTTTCGTGTGAAGTTTGACCAAGGGAATCGAGGTTTGCTGCGATCCAATCATGTAGCCTTGGAGACCAGTGCCCCTAGAGATGTGCTAAACATTGGAAGTAGAGTTGTCGGTAAGAGTTTATTATGATTTATCTGGTTAGAGTGCATGGCATATATCTGTGAAATAATTCCCATACTTGTGGCAGTTGATAGTTGTCTCATCTCTTCAATTTTCAATCTATTTTCTTTTAATCAGAAATACAATCATAAAAAATAAGATATATGGAATGCACTCAAATTTACATAAAAATTTATTTAAAATTATTAATGATTAATGATTATTAAATTAACATTATTACTAATGATAACTGATGCTAATCTCTTCACACAGCCTTAAGGCCGAGAGAGACTGGGGACGAGAGCGCATCCTGGCGGCAAGCTCAAGAAGGTTCAAAAACATRTTATTTTTCTTTAAATGACATCCTTATATACAGCAATTYATAAAAATGGTCGACCACATTRAMGAACTAGTGTTATAGATGCATCTCAAATTACAAAAACATTGTCCTATGTAAAATATAAAATTTAGCAAATGCAAAAGAAACTGGCAAAATTTTGTCTTTTAAGGCTGAATTAGACGGCACAACTTTTGCCTACAACCATCGCATGCAACCTGCCTAGGTCAYMTACATGTACATGGAGCTACAGCCTTTTTGGGTAATTGTTTTAATTCCTACWACAGTTGTAGCCATATTATATGGGTGACTTACRCAGGTTGCATTCGATGCTTGTAGGCAAAAGTTGTGCTGTCTAATTTGGCCTTCATGTTGCTAAATCACTGAATCTTAGTACAATGTTTATATATTTAGGTGTAAATATAGGGTCATGTTATTCTTTGTACTGCAAAACAGTTCCCAGTACAATCTTGAAAGGTAGCTGTGCTTAAGTAAGACAAGGGTTGAGCTTGCAATGATAGATACCCATTTCATACCTCTGACAATAAATTACTCACATCTATCATAGTGAGGTTTGATTCTTTATCACTTTAATGCAAAGGCTGGGCTTCCTGTGAAGATTGTGCAGGGAACTTAAAAAAAGAGAGAACTATTTTGCAAATATTCCCATTTGATGAAATTGTTGTATCATAGTTATTTTTGTTTGTTACTTTGTGTTTCCAATCTTTGAGCTGGTGAGTAAGAWTGCCGTTCGTCAGTATGTGTCATGTCTTCTGTCTCTTCGTAATAAGTATTAAGATAATAATAATGT